TCCTTTTTTTCTCAGCCAATGGCCGCTCATCATCGTCTGATGAGTAGTCCGATGAACATTCCTCTTCATCATCACGTGGCCTCTTCCTTTCCACACCCTCGTCCCTGCCCCCCTCATCCTTGCTCCCCTCTCCTCCGTTCTTTTCAAGTGTTTGCGCAAGGTTTTCCTCGAGTGTCTGCGCAGGGTTGTTCTCTCCTTCCGCGGTCACGACATCTGAACCCTCCACATCCGTCGCTGGCGTTTTTCTTGGTCTGTCTCTACCTTTTTTTTGGCTTGGAGGATCAGGCTGCGCCGACGATGTCCCTGTCTCCTTCTGTGGTGCTGTCGTCGCAGCACCCCCTTTCTGTGAGCACGCATGTGCTCCTCTGTTCCCAAGGTGCGTGCCCTCCTTCGCACTTCAGTTTGAGAACGCTTGACGAGGAAGTTGCCTGCCTTTGTCAATCCACGCCTGTCCCCGCAATGACCCTCCTCAATCTCCTCGAGGTTGCATTCTTCATGGCACGAAATAGCAGCTTCATCCCCATCTTCGTCACCCCCGCCATCAACAGGTGGAACAACATCGTCACCAGCCGAGGTAAGGCTCTTCAATCTGCGCTCAGCCAACTTCACTCTTTCTTTAGCCTCCTTTTGCTCCTCCTCCGTCGGTGGGTCATCCCATTCAACAAGGTCTTTTGCCCTCTCCAGCATCTGCTGCAGCGAGTCAAGCAGGCGCATATTCCATTTGGTGTACACCAATTTGTGCATTGTCTCCGGGGCCAAGGCATTCCGCTCTTTGGAGTGAATTGCTGCAAAAAGTCTCCAATTCCTTTTGCAACCTGAAGTCGACGACCCTTGCCCCAACAACCGAATGGCATGGGGGTGCAAGGGTTGCAGCTCATTGCATCACCGCTTCCACCATGCTGCAGGGTTTTGCTTACGGGCTGCATCCATGGCCGCTTGCGAGTTGAACTTCCCAATGTTCTGAACCCAACAATCCACTTCGTACTCCACTTGGTCGCACACCTCGTGCGGCGACCCTTTCAGCCATGTGTACACCCAAGTGTAGAATCCATCTTGGATCTTTGGATCGTTGTATGACTCAGACGTCCAGTACTCCGGATACAAGAACAGGGTTGCACAGTGGAGTGGGGTGGTCATAGCATTCCATCTGCGCATGACCATCACCTTGATCTCCTCCCGGTCCTCTGCCGTCAGGTCCTTGTTGACTCGCAGGCGTTCCACTATCCTGTCCATCTTCGAATAAACCTTGCTGATGGTTGGGCCGTTGCCATCCACCACCTTCAATAGCAAAACAATGTCGTATACGGCATTGATTGCCTTGTTGACATTTTCCCAAAACCCTGCTGCATCAAGCAAGACATCTTTTATCTCGTGGAAGGTCGATCGTTGTGCATGGGGAACCAGCGTCGTTGTCCACCTCTCGTCTGTTGTGACCATAGCCACCAACGTTTTTCGTTGCTTCTTCAAGCGGTCCAACATGTGGAAGTTAGTGGCGAAACGCGTTGCTGCAGGTCGCAATAGCTGTCTCCCACCCGAGTGGATGTAGTAAACATCCCTGACTCGCTGGTGGTTATTGATGAACTTCACCAAGTCATTCGCCTTCCCCACCGTTCGAGCCACCCACTCCATCTTCCCAAYAKCRTRCAACACTAAGTCAAGGCAGTGYGCAGCRCATGGCACAWGGAAGATCGTAGGGAATGTATCCTCCACCAATCTGCCAKCTCTCACACACACTGCAGCGTTGTCCATGATCACTCCAACAACACTTTTCTCACCAACTTCGCGAATGGACTCGGACAAGATATCAAAGTACGCTGYTGCGCCYTTGTCCTTGCCTKACATGCAGTGCGACTTCCAAAAAAGCACACCGGTCGGAAAGGAGACCATTACATTCAAGTGTGGTCTGCCTCTCCGATCAGTCCAGCCATCAAGCTGGAGCATGCATCCWGATCGAGGCCAGCTCCTTTGMTGCCGCAAMMCCCCCTCCYCGASGCGACCCCRYGACATGTCCAACCTTTTCGTCCGCTGCGCGTCGTACTTTGCAGGGATGAAGGACCGCTCTGCATCACGAACCTTATTCAGCATGCGCAAGAAATACTTACTGCGCACCATGTTGAACGGGACTCCTTCATTAATCAACCAATCATCTATGGAGCGTTGTGCTTCTTCATTCTTCGAGATGATTGCCCCGCTCTCTTCCAACGTGCTCTGCCGCACATTGGTTGTCGTCGAAAGGCCAGTCTTGACTCTGTTTTCCGCTGGTTGGGGGCTGCTGCACTCGTCCTTGGCGTCCACGTCTTCCATGCCTTCGACGTCTGAAAGGCAATCATATGACGGTGCGCGAGGCACAGCCTTTCCCAACACCAGCGCAATTGCCTCCAGCTGGCCCAACTCCCTCCTCTCCTTTTCCTCTGCCGATAGCCTGCTGCCTAGCCTGTTGATGTTGCACCTGGGTCCTTTTGTCGTGGACATGAAGTGCTTTGCGCTCCTAGGGAACAACAGTTCGCAATACAGGCATTTCCATATGTAGTTCCCTTTCCCCGGCTCCCCATGCACTCCAACATTCTCAAAGTGGCGCTTGATCACATCTGCACCTGCTTTAGGCATCCCGAATTTGGTGGCGCGTCTGGCGACAAGTTGACGACAATGCGGCAGAACAGCAAGCAAGGGGTGTCAGATCATTTCTAAGTGCGCTGCTCTCTCTCTCTCTCTCTCTCTCTCTCTCTCTCTCTCTCTCTCTCTCTCTCTCTCTCTCTCTCTCTCTCTCTCGGGGTTGCTGTGCAGCAGAACAGGGACTTCGGGGGGGGGAGGTCGATGA